ATCGTTCATCAGTTAAAAAAAAAAGTGATTCCAACGATATAATTTATCTGTGACATTATCTTTATAGTTGTGGCGTGGACTCTGCTCTTCTTTTACACTTAGAACATACTTTCATTATAGTTATCCTATAGTCTGAACGGACTTAATGCACAGATCAGTGCGAGCACACAGGACCTGAGTTCAGTCTCCCACGCACATATTAGCATGCTAATACAGGCATGGTCTTTTAAAGGTCATGGAAAGGTCATTAGGAAGTCAGAACAGGTCATTTTTTTCGCTCTCGCTCTAATTACGTTTCTCCTTCTTTAGATAAAAGGAAATATGTTAGAGGTTGGGTCCCGCTGGCATTGCTTGTGTTACTGCCGCAAGTTATTATGAACCTCAGAGACACACACACACACACGCGTATTATCAACAGCTCAGCAGGAGCAGGAGGCCGAGGTGGAGGAGGAGGAGGACGTGAACACGCCTGAATACATTTAAGATGTGAATGTTTCACATCTAATGTTACATTTACATAAGATGATGCTGAGGAACATTTGGCACCTCCACAGCTGCCTGAGCCAAAACCAAACAGAACAGCGCATGGAGAAAATGCCTGGGTTTGAAAAGAGATTTGAATTCAGCGAGTGACAGAGAAGGAGATAGCCTAGAAGAGGAGTGAATGTGCGAAGGAGAGAAACTGTGGGGGAGAGTTAAATTGCATTGGCATTAGCTGTCAGACAGATGGTCACAAACTAGTGTCAACTAAAGAGTTGGAAAAAAAAGGAAATATATCATATTATCATTCAATGGATAAAAAGCACATTGACTCATATACATCCTCATTGTAATTTATTTATCCAATCCAAAGACATTTTCAGTATGCGCTCATTAAAAACCTGTCAGACAGACAGTTTTACTATTTGAAATCAGAAACACCTGTCAATACTTTTATTGTATCTTAAAGAGGTTATCTCTTTTGGGGTTGTATATTGAGAAAATGTTATAGTTCCATGAATAGTTAAATTTTTTTAATGGAAAGAAAGCTGCAAACACGTTTTGATTGGTAAGTGTTAGTTCTAGATGTGTGTAGCACCTTCCACTCTGCATATCTGAGTGGGTTATAATCAATAACTGGTTATAATCATACTACTGTATGATTATACTCATACTACTGTACTGTAATCATACTACTGTACGTGTTATCTATACATTTTGAGGTATAGGTTTAGGGACGTGGTTGGGGTAGGTCATATATTTATATATACGGTAAAGTAATGTTAAGTCAACGGCGTTCATAAACACGCTGAAAGGCGATTATGCGTGTTGATAGCATGCCAAAAATGGAAATGCGAATTGGCATGTCATATATACGCCATTTCATGAGATCAGTCTGGAATATCATGGTCCATCATGTCGAATGCAGATCTGAGGTCACCAGCATCTGTTGTCAATGTCAAATAAATATAATTGAGATTCAGTACTGTGAAATACTCTGAAGCCAGACTGAAACCTTGCATAGATAGAGTTTAGGTTAAGATAAGAATGAAGTTGACACAACTTTTTCGAGTACTTTGAAGATGTAAGGTAAATTAGAAATGGGCTTATTGTATTTTTTAAGTAGCAGAATCAAGATTTGGTTTCACAAGAGGTCACCTGGAAAAGTCCCCAGACTGAACGATTAATTGAAATATATATATATTGATTAGTCGTTCTCTATCTCTTTTTCCGTTTCTCTCTTTGTGAGTGTGGTCTTGGTCTGTACTATTCTAAAATGTTCTGGTTTAGAGTCCTCAGGCATTTGGACTGTGAACATTGCATCAGCACTTCAGACGTGATAGCCTAATTCATAAAAAAAATCTATTAAAGGCATACGAAATGGGAGAAGTTGGCCTTTTGATGCAGTGGAATTTTGAAATCAGAGCCCCAAAGGTTCAACTAAAATAATTTATTCACCCTCATCCAAAGCTCTATGACGTTATGTGGAACAAAAACAAGGAGTTATGTTATATATTTAGAAACAAGCTGGTGCAAAACTCTAAGTGAGTCTGCATCAGTATTGATTCCACCAAATAGAAGGGTTCACATGAACTGTTGTATGGATGTGCCGTACACTCTCGCGCTGCAGTTCCTATACACAACAGGGAAGACTTGCAGCATGTCAAGCGAAATAGGCAGGATTGATCGACCCTGTACTCTTTTAAAATGTCAAATGCTCTCTCTTGCCCCCAGAGACTTATTCTATTGGAGCTGTAAAACTGCAGTAACACTAACATTGTCACCATAACATAACAAATGTTGTGTTTTGATGTTTTATGGGGAGTTTCCACAGACGTAATGATTTGTATACTGCACAAACTGTATATTCTATCCCCTTACACTAACCACACCCCTTTACCCATCACAGAAAACAACCTGCATTTTTACATTTTCAAAAAAGCAAACAAACATCACTTAGCATGATTAAGCATAAGCTGTTTTCCTTAAAAAAATGTCCCCACAAGGACACGGATTTCGGATATTGCCATCTTTGGGGGGACATTCTCCTCACACTTCACACTTGAACACAACACAACACTTACACCTTGCCATGTGCTTGACTGACCCTGTCACTCAAGATTGCTATAACAACAAAACAACTTCTGACTGGGTGCGGGCAACAGTAATTTCTTCCTGCAGTGTTCTCTATATTTTTTTCTGGCTATAGATTTAAAAAAAAAGGTTATGATGAAAGATCTGGATTCAGAATGTGCCATACAGCTTACATAGACAATTTTGCACCTTGAATTAATGAGTGTGTAAACTCATTAATAAACTTGAATTAATGAGTGTGTAAACTTGAATTAATGAGTGTGTAAAACTCATTATGTATTAGTTTGTAGAAATAGTGCAGATTTAGGGCAGAGCGGTAGGAAATTCACCATTAACGCTCAACATTAACCCATTAATAGGTTGACTGACCTAAAAAGCAGTGAACTAGAATAACCATGATGGACGTTTACAGACTCTCTCGCTCTCTAACTCTATTCACTAAGCTCTCATTACAAATTCACACTAGTTATCATCTCTTTCTTTATTTTTTTCTTCACATCAGCCCTCTAAAATTTCAGAACATAATCTTAAACTATTTTCTTAACTATAATTTGGGTGAAAAAAAAAAAAAAATCCATGTTACGTTCTGTCTATGCAGAATATTTTACTATTTCAGAATAGTGTTGGTTCTATAAATATTCTTTCTTTCCTACTCTGCTTTGATAAGATTTGATTAAAGATTCTATACTATTTTGTTAAGTTGTCATGTTGTTCTGCTAAAGAAATTATTCTATTCCATATTCTATTATTTTTTGTTACATAGCCTTTTTATTCTTTTCAAGATTCCATTCCAATTTTCTCCAATTTTCAAACTATTGAGCTAAAATTCAATTATTCAAGTTTCCATTCGATTCTATTATATTTTTTTCTAATTACAATTATATATATATATATATATATATATATATATTCTATTAAAATTGATACTTTGATGTATCCTATAAATATTCTATTCTACTCTATTTTTATTGGGTTTAAACTATTCCAATCTATTCTTCTCTAAATATTTTAGATTCTAGTTTATTAAAGATTTTACTCTATTCTGTTATTCTGTTCTACTTTGTTAAATATTCTATTGTATTCAGCTAAAGCATAAGTATATTGTAATATATTGTATTGCTATGTTTCTAACTAAACCTTTTTTTTGGGGGGGGGGGGGGGGGGTATATTGTTATCTGCTACTATATATTACTTGCACAGCCTAAGATAACACTAAGTCAGTGCACACAAGTACAAAGTATTGAGTGACAGCTTCCTTTCACAGCTTTAGCTCTCTCTAGGTTTATTTCCATATACTGTGTTGCTATAGTGGTCTAGAGAGAGTGTTTTAGATTCTATACGGTCTCTCCAAATCTTCAATATCCTCTTTAAATTAACTTCCTACTCCCCTGTGTGTAGGAAGAGTCTATCAGTGAGGAAGATCTAATGAAGGAGTGGAGAGATAGTGGGGTTTAGCCAGGTTCAGTGACAGCAGATAAACAGCCACTGCTTGGCTACAACATCTCCACGGGCTCCGCCGGCACAGAGATCAACCATGCAGAGCTTTTTTCTGCTGACACAGTGCTATGACACTCGAGAAAAAAGAGATAAGAGGGATGAAGGAGAGAAAAGAATACCACTGGAAAACAAAGTGCCTAGACTCTTCTTTGAAGGAAAAAATGTGATTTTCTAAGACCTAAAGGAGGTGGAAATTCAATGGAAGTCAATGAAACTCCATCCTAACATTGGCGTATTTTTTCTATTTGGCGCTATTATACAAGGTAAATAAAATAAAACATTATAATGTATAAAAACATTATGAATGAATACAGTTAGACACTTGAAATATGATTTTAAATTGCTCATATCCCATAAATAATACCATTTTCAATAGCAAAATAGCAAAAAGGGAAGAAATCTTTGAAAAAATCTTTGCATTAAATATTTTACAATAAATAAAACATTATATTGAAAATAATAATAACATAAAATCTTAAATATACTAAAAACAAAAATATCATATAATATTAAATCATTTTTATAGGCCTAAATATAATAGCAATATTAATGACAAATTCTTACTAATAAATATAATATTAAAGTTTATACTAAATATACCTGAATATGACTAAAATGACCAATAAAATATTGAATATAATATACAAATAACTAAATATAATATTAAAAGACAATTTTATAGTAAATATATTAACAATATTAATTACAAATTCTTACTAATAATACAATACTAAAGTTTATGTTATTGACTAATATTACAAATAAAATATTGCATATAATATCAAAAATAAATCATATAGAATCTAATATTACAGTAAATTCTTTATTTTAAATATAATATAAAAACCAAAAACTTTATTTGTCCCAACCTTTACTCAACCTTTCAAAACAAGCTTGTTTTCCTTTTTCTTTTAATGAAGGCGTCTTACCTTTACTGAGGGTTCCTGAGACGAGCCTCTGAAGGGACTGAATGAGCTTTAGCACCCCCTGTCTGCAGCGGCTGGTACAACCAGCCATGATGAGAGAGACCCCGAGGGTGCACAGAAAGCCCCTGCAAAAGCCCAAACACAGCACAGAGCTCCTTTCACCAGCGGTGCTCACAGACAAGGGTCGCGTCCCATACGAGCCTCTCTGTGGACTCCAGAGTGCTTCTCACGTCACAGTCTCCAGTCCCCAGTCCCACAAGAGCTACGCTTTAACCAATGGGTACCAAGTCTGAGAATGAGATGACCAAGATGCCCTCCGTCCAGCTTTCGACCACTCTCCCCACACACTCTCACTCACACAAACACACACAAGACGCTCACAAAGTGCCTGCTGAACCTGTTTTTCCTCTGCCTCTGTGCCAACTGTATCAAAGGAGACTTGCTGAAACAGCCGAGTACTGATGTGCAAAAGTTCGAGAAGGGAAAGTTGGTGAGCGCTGCAGGCTCAAAGCTCAGAGACCGACCTGATGAATTATTAAGCGGATGGCAAGAGCCCACTGCTGTGCTACACGAACTAAGAACTGCTCGAAGGAAGTGGAGTGTCCATGGAGACAAAAGAGTGGCTTTCCTTTTCTTTCCCGCTGCTTCTGGTTACGCCTCTGTCTCTCTCTTCCTCTGGTTGTGTGAGAATGTGGTGTGTGTTTTGGCTAAAAGTCGTTGGTCTGCTGCAGTGTTTCCGATTGCTCTGTGCTGCTGGACAGATCCCTGCAGCATAAAATAAGAGACAAGTGCTCTCTCTCTCTCTCTCTCTCTCTCTCTCGCTCTCTCTCTCGCTCTCAGAAAGCATTTCTTGCACACCTCTCTCACTCTCGCTTTGCATAGTTAAAAATAGTAGAATAGCTAGAATGGATCATTAAAGATAATCTATTAAACTATTTATCTTTCTCTGGATTCTAACATATTCAATTCTTCTAGTCTCTATTATATTAAAGGGGACCTATTATGCAAAATTCACTTTAACGTGTTCGAACATTAATGTGTGTCGGCAGAGCATTTAACAGCAGCATTCAAGTAAGAAATGAATTTATTAAAGCTATACTAAAGTTATTCAATCAAGACCAGTGAGGGATTTTCTGTTTTTTTTTTTTTTAATTTTGTTGTTTGATTCGTTTTATCAGCATATATAGCAGGTACTGTATATTACGCTGCTGTCACTTTAATACACATATCTAATTTCTTTACTTGCTGTTTACATTCATAGACATAACTGTTTATGTGAACTTTGTGTGTTTTTGACATAACCTTGTATGTATTTGACAGTTTAAGCACAATAAGACGCGAAAGAGAACTTAGTTTAATACTCATGCATCATCTGACATCCAGCTTTGGATGTGTGCGTTCAGAAAACCATATATCGGAAGTTAGATATGGTTTTAAAACACATGCAGATAATAAACTTTCATGATGAAGAACTGCAATGTCAAGTGAGCGTGACCGCGAATCCGCGATAGAGATGATAATCAAGACCAAACAGATGTTTTAGTGTTTGGCATTGAGCTGTAAAGGCTCCGCCCTCTTCTGGAAAGCGGGGGAGCGGCAGCTCAGTTGCGTTTAAAGATACATGTACAAAAACAGCATGTTTTCCCTTCCGCTTAAAAATGGCCATTTACAACATGGTATAATAAATTATTTGTGGGGTATTTTGAGCTGAGATTTCACAGACACATCCTGGGGACAACTGAGACTTATATTACATCTTGTAAATTGGGGCATATAGAGCATCAGAGTCCCGCCCACAGCCCGAGAGAGCGTTGGTGACGGAAGTAAATTTCCCATTCATTTCTCCCATTGACATTTTGTAAAATCCATATCTAAAGAGTTTTAGAGCATGTCTGAGGATAACCAGCGACGGCTGAACTCATAAGCATACGACATATAATTTCGAGTGAAAAAAAAAAAAAACGAAGAGAAAATTTTAAAAAAGTCAAGGATACAAGCATGTGTACATATTTTCATTTCCGAGCAAAGGAACTACTCAGCCCATAAAGCACCGCGCCTCATTAAAGTCGACTGAAGCCACAGTGAAAAAGCCTTTTGAGTGACTTCCAAATCTGACGACGGCCACGTGAACTTTTTCCTTTATATAGTGAATGTGCAGGGAAACTTCTTTTTCCTCGATTTACTGAAGCTTATATGTAAAATGCATTTGGAGCTGCACATGCTAAAACATTGAGCATCTGGCTCGCTCATAGGCTGCGCTGCGGCAACTGCACATCCAATGGCGCGGGGGCGTCTCTTAGGTGCGACCAATAAACTTAGCCCTACGTCATTACACGATTCTCAGGTCTTCACATGCCTTCGCCGGGTTTCAGACATGTTACACGACTTCCACCAATCAGATGCATCACTGTGGGATTGTTGGATTGTTCAGGATTGTGGGTAATGAAGTGCTTATCCAATACGTCGCAAATAAAAGGGATTTATCTTAAAACAAGGTTAGTGCCCCATGAACTTTTGACGTTTATATGAGCATATACAATCACTTAGTACAGCCGTAGATGGTTTTACGTCTACCATGGTTATGTTTAAAACTTAAATCCCAACTGTCAATGGAGAAATTGTATTGAATTTTTACTTCCGGCACCGGCTGTGGGCGGGACTGTGATGATCTATAGGTCCACTTTAAAGTGTCTAGTCTGTTCTATTTTCCTATTTTTTTTTAAATTATATCTATTTAATACTCTATTTTATTCTGCGTTATTTGAATATCTATTAAACTTTCTACTATATTCTATTGAATTTCCTTATAACTTTTTTCTACTATACACCATCAAATATTGTATTCTGTTAAATGTTATTCTATTCTGGGCTATTGTTTTAGATTTTATTTGTTTTAATGTTTCTGTTCTGTCAAAGATTATATTATATTATATTAAAAAACAGATTATATTAGTTTCTGTTCAGTTCTATTCTATAAATTAGCATTATTTTCCAATCTATTGGTATTCTGTTAAAGATTATATTTCATTAGATTTTTTTACATTCTATGCTAGCCTCTATTTTATTATAAAGTTTATATTCTGTACTACTAATATTCTATTTTATTCTGCTTTATTTTCCTAGATTCCATTTTATTAAAGTTTCTACTAAATTAAATTGAATATACCTTGTAACTTTCCATTATAATGTTAAAGATTATATTCAGAATATCAATATCGTTTTGCTAGGTAAAATATTGCTTGTTTGAAATGTTTTTTTTTTTAACCAAAAAATTCCCACGCACAACCCACTCCAACCTCTTACCCTCATTTGTCATCATTGCCCTAACTGAGGGGAAACCAAAATAGTCAGACAGAATATGAGGAAAGTGAGAGAGAAAGAGGGAAGAGGTAATGAGAAGTGACAGCTCTGATAGATGGCAGGATGATGCCGGAGGAATGAGACGGATAAAGTTAAGAGGAAATATGAAGGAAAGATGCAATGTTCTCTCTCTGGAAAAGTATTCTCCAGAGAAAAAAAAGACCCTGGTAATATCACATGTGTCTCCACAAGGGTTTCAGAAGTGATTTCAACAATGTCTCAAACTGTGCTCGGATGTGCCAAGATACCAAAGTCTGCAAAGAGATCAATATGATTTTTCTCATGTTGAAATCCACATTATTTGTATCTTTGTACATGTCAACAACTGTTTAATTTTTATTTGTATTCCTTTTTAGCTGAGACCTGAGAGCTCCTTGGAAACAATAACCTCTATACGGTAAAATTTACCTTTAGGCATAAAGCGTTTTTTTTATTTTTTATTTTTTATGTCACTCTAAATATAACAGTAGTGTGATAATTGTCTATTTGTTTCTTTGTTTGAAATATTTCTTTCAGTGGGAGGTTTGTAAAGGTTAGGTTTAGCATGTCCCCAAAACAGATGCTTCTTATTCTATTAGACATGCTCAGAAAAGCCCTTTTATGTCCTGTGCTGCATATTGAAATATTTTTGGACTATGTGGGTGGAAGTGCAAAGTGGATTGAGAGCAGCAAGACAGAGTGAGAGTTTTGTATTTATTGATTAGGAAATTTACTTAAGAATTTAGAATTCATTCTCCAGTTTTCCTTTTGTATTTCAGTTCTGCTTCTGCAAGATTCTGAATCTTTTATGGGCACGGATGAAACTAAAAGAAGTTATATTCCTACCTAAAACAATAAATAAAAATATGTTATCATTATCGATAACCGGTAGTTATTAAGTAACATGTGCAGTAAAACTGTGTAGAAAAAATTCAATGTTCACAATATGCAACAGTCATCTGCAAAGCATTTCAGAATACTTGTGTTTGTGTGTGTTTTATGTTGCAAAAGAGCCGCAGGATTCATTCGAAGCAGGAGTATCAGCTCACAACAGCTGCAGTGATGTTCAGTCCTACAGAGATGTGCTTCAACTCTGCAGGTTTAACACCCCTATTTCTGCAAGCTGCTTGATGCATTTGATCCAGTCAGTGCTTCATAATGCATTCTTATGTTATGAATATTGTGTTCTTAAAGGGATAGTTCGCCCAAAAATGAAAATTAGCTGTTAATGTAATCACCCTCAGGCCATCCAAGATGATTATGTATGAATATGTACATTTTTATTTTTGGGCGAACTATCCCTTTTTTCAACTGTTTATATTACATTACAGCCTTCCCGTAGCTCAAACAGTAGAGCATTTACTCTTGCAAGGCCAAGGCCATGGGTTTGATTCCCAGGGAAAGCAAGAACTGATAAGAATGTGAATGTGTACCTTGAAAGGCAATGTAAGTCGCTTTGGATAAAAGCGTCTGCCAAATGCACACATTTATCAATACATCTTGAATTGGGAGACCATTATCTAGAACAGGGCAATTAATAATAATAATTTGTTATAGCGCTTTTCAGGTTACTCAAAGCGCTTCACATATGGAAGGGGAATCTCCTCAACCACCAACAATATAATATAATTTAATAGTAATGTAAATCTAAAATAAGAAGACTATATATTTAATATTGCTGGTAAATAAAGAGGGTAAAATATAATAATTTAAACTAAAACATAAAAAATAAAGCGGAATCTAAATATGTAGACCCAATAGGCACAATATACTATATACTGTATATATACAATATATATACAATATTTGTTGTACTTTTTTTCTGAGAATAAAAGAATTTAACACTTATTCCTGAGGTACTTGGAAAAAAAATTACTCTTTCCTCCACCATTTTGAATGTATGATGCAATATCTCAAAACAACAAAGAGGTACAAAGACAATAATTCAATGGAAAAAAATTAGAAGTCATTGGTTGACTTCTAATTTTTATATACTTGAGAAAGTGGTTCCTAAACTATCACCACCAAAACATCTCCTTCCAAGTCTGTGCACTTAAAAATTTCTAAATGTTCCTTAAAACACACAGACTCATCAGACCAGACACTCAGTTGCCTTTGCATCACACTGTCTGAGAGCACCCATCTCCATGAACCATTTAATGAAGCTTCCACGGCTCACATTTACACACAAACACACAGTGATAAACGCACACACGCTTAGGGCAAGAAACTGCACTCAGCACTGTTGAATTAACCTTCAGACTTCTCTTTAGCTCCCTTGCATCTGTTGTATCCCACTGCACTGAACGACACAGTCTTCTAGACAGCTAAGAGCACACTTTAGTGTGAAATTATAATTAAAGAACTGCATCTATTATAACAGAACTTATTAAAATACTTAAAAATCTAGGGATGATTATGAGCTTTTAA